GGCTTTGGGCATGTTTTTTTATGAGAGTAGAACATTATAACATGATATAAAACTCAAAAAAAGTTGATTTTACATGATATGCCCCTTTTAAAAAAGAAGCTTAAAAAGACTTTTCAATTCATTCACTACAAACGTTGGACCAACGTTATGGTGCAATATAATCCTTCAGCCCTTCAGATTCAAGCCAGAATGTTCTATCATTCTTTGTACTGACTGAATGCATAAACAACTTGCTCTTTTATATATTTACATAGCATAGGTTTAAAGAACCTTGCATTTCCAAGCCTGTGGTATCACTGTTTTTCTTAGTGGAAAACAAGTAAATAAGCTTTATAAGTGGAATAATAATTATATACCCCATTTTAAATCTTAAAACCTTTTTCATTGTGGCAACATTTTCATTCTCGTGTTCATTAGTTCTTTTTTGAATTATTTATTTAATAAGAAAAAAGTGTTCAAACTGTTAGGGCAAAACAAATGCTTTGAATGAAATCAAACCGCCACATTATTTTTTCAGTTTTCATTGCTGTCTCGATGTTCAGGCTTTTCTCTCTCTGAGGGTTATCCTGACCTACCCACCAACTGTTTCTTAATCACATCACTGGCCTTATTTTTGTTCTCTATATTCCTGCACCAAGGCATATGATCTCAGGAATGCATGAAGAGCTTAAAAATGAACTGGATTAGAAATTGTATAGTGGGCTTTGCCTGATGATTAATTTCATTATACGATGTTGACACAAGCGATAAGACAAAAAATCTTTATAAATTAAACAATAGACTTTTAGTAACTACTAAAGCAAAAAGAGAACAAAAGACAAGTCTGTATTTTGCTTAGTGATTAGTACAGTCACGTGTTTCTGACTTGTATCAGGTTAGGAATTATTAATGAAGAGTAGTGGCGTGTGTGTTTGACCATGTTTGATATTTTATCAGATGTTTTTTGCTAACCTGATGTCCTCTTGATAATAATTTTGTCAAAACACCACACAGTCTGAATCAATATTAGACAGAACTTTTGTTAAATTTGGCACCCAGAAGAACAATTTTAAGAATAAATACAAAGACATTATCATTATAATTACATTAMTTAAATTTGCTTCTTGAATGTGTTAATTAAAAGCAAGTGTAGTAGCTTAATAAGAAAGATAAAAATCTAGTTATCATTACGGTATCTAAATATCATCATAGTTGGGCCAATCCAGTTCACCTATGGATGACTGCAGGCTGTTTCTGGATCTGTGGAAACCATCATTACTACCCTTGGGTAAAACCATGTAATTCAACACCCATGAAATGATCAGCAAACTCATTTAATGCAGCAACATCAACAAATCCCTGGTCTGAGAAGAAGACAGCGGCGAAACAGCCTCTCGCATGGTTAGGGAAGGCCTGATGAGTAAGTGGGAGCTTGAGGGGAAAAGAGAGTGAAAAGGAAAATGGCAGAAATAAAAGGATGGAGAAAGGGAAATGTAGTGGCTGATTGCTGATGTGTGAAGATCGGCTCTATGGGGAATCTGCCTGTGAGATATTTAACTGAGCTATTTGATTAGAGGAAATGAATCCACTTACTGTAATTGGATGCACTGAGCTCCCTCTATCCCCACCCCTTTTTTCCTGCCATTTCCTCTCCATCTGTTTGTATCTCACTCCTCATCATTCCCTTGTTCAGTGGGTAAGTTGTTGTTCGTAATGAGCTGAAAAGAGCAACAAAAATAATTCTAACACAAAGGCCTGTTTCTGTCCAAAACGATTAACAGTTTTTGAGGACTTAYACAATATAATGTGGCACTGGCATCTGTTGAGATGCTACAATGTATGATACAATTCATTTTAGGGCTAGATGAAGGCCTTTCTGCCTTCMTTAGAAAAGAGGCATTCTGTCTTGGTTCTGAACCGAAGATGGATGGATGAATGAAGTGTGGTAATAACATTCATATATCTGAAACTTGTCTCTCATGTGTCCTGCTTGCATGCATAAATGGATAAGATACACACGCCCCTGTTGCAGGCAAATTACCAGGCTGCAGTGGCTTGTTTGGCCCACTTGGGGGCACTGTGAATCCTTCATGGCGCCACTGTGGGTACGCTTGAAAGCTTTTCTCATTTATGCATGCAACCCTTTTTTGTGTTGATTTGTAGCTGTTTCTGCATTCATATAGCTCAGTGCAAAATCAAGGAGTGGGCTTCCAGAGCTCATAATAACATTCCCATTATGTGCCATGCAGATAAGCACAATACCAGCTTTACAAAACAGATGCTGAAACTGAGAGCTACTATTCACAATCACTGCATGATTTCCAAGCCTTAGTTGAATCTATCAACATTATCCTCAGAAATRAAAACATTTTTAAAGTTATTTGAAAATATTTTAAAGGCATCAACCTTTCTTTTTAGTTTMGGCATATACTGATATTCGTTGTGTACTATTGACTCATTTGTTACAATAGTAACAATTTTAGTGAAAATGAAAATTTGAAATACCACACCTGTGGATTACAATGAACATTTATGAAGTTTTATTATTCCTTTTAAAATCTTGTCAAACAGATTGATACTCATAGTGTACTAAAACATGTTGTATTATGTCAAATCATTGCATAATATTTACCTCTTTTTTTTGTCCTTGAGCACAAGAGTTTACCATATTCATATTACACATCAAAGACAATAACCATTTAAAAACATGATTATCCCTGACCTTCTAAACAACCACAAAGTGGAACTGATCCATATCTAACACACACATTATAAAGTTATTAACCTTCACAAACATGCAGTACAAGAATATTAGATAGTAATACATGGCATTATTTCTACATTTGGATTTTCACAAACTTTGTGGCCAGTTGTTATTGTGTTTGAGACTTTATCTGGATACAAACGAGATGYTATTAATTAATTAATGTTCATTTAAATGTGCTTTGGCCTGGCATACACACACAAAAACACAGCTTTAGATAACTGACAACAAAGTTTTTGGAAAATCTTTCTTGAGTGTCAACATACTTAGATTAAGCTTACATGAATGAAGAATAGTGTTTTATATAAACYTTTCGTAGCAGTCCTAGTTGGATGCCATTTTGTTTGAAAGCAAAAATAAATAAATAAATAAAGTAATAAAAAAACCTTTAAATTCAAATTTGGTTTTGTGCACTTTTGAATGTCACCAAATTACCTTGGAATTCTTCTTTTTGTCTGATGTAATCCTGTACATTTTCTTCCTTCTTTGTAAACTTTTGTCTAAAACTTCAAGTAATAAAGAAAAAAAACACAAAACAAAACCAAAAAGACGTCAAATTATGGTTTTATTTTTCTTATTGAAACTGCAGAAATGTGTCTGCTTGTCCCTATCTCATATATATATATATATTTTTTTTTTCTCTCTAATTTTATACTTTTTTAGCTTCAGGTTAAGACAAGTAAAGCTGTTAGTCTTTAAATGAAGTTCTTAAGCCTTTTGTCTGCACAATGCTGAGCCATTTATGAAAAATGCTGCCAGTTCACCAGCTTTGCTGTTGCACCAGTGAGGCTTAAAACTCACCTGCTTATACAAAGTGAGAAAAGTAACTGTTTTAAAGAACCTTGGCTTGTAACTTTTTCATCACAGTCATGTTGTTTAAAATTGTCACTTTTTAGGTCATGCAAGGACACGTAAAGGAAAGAGGAGCAGATTGACTAAGTTAATAAAAAAARCACTTTTATTGGTATCATCATGGATTCTTAGTTGCTAAGAAATCAAGTCTGTAGTTTTATTCTTGGTCTGTGTCATGATAAAACAGTGCAATGTGTAAACGATCCAAACATTTRAATTGTCGAGCAATGGAACCACCTGGGGGAGCCTGCTGTGTTGTCACCTTCTGCTTTTTATTATGAGGTCAGTTCATTTGTGTCTGGGGTTGTATTTTTTATTATGTCAGTTCATATCTGAGTTTCAACACATCTACCCAGTATATTCACCCTGGCACGGACAGCACCCTGTTATTCTGTCAACAAAACAAAAGAAAATGCGAAGAGATAAATCTTCGGRAAACATACTGCTGATTCAAAGGTTCTCCAACTCTATTTTACTCTCTGCTGCAGCTGCCATCACTCATTTAGCAGTTTCACTCCTGCCTTCCCCGCAATGCCCGAGTCCAGCCCTGAATGTTTGCCTGTGCACAACATTATCAAAAACAAAAAAAACATTTACATAAATATATTCTTGTTCGTGAAATCTGTGTTCCAATACCAAAATACAAATGATTAAAAGAAAAAAAAAACTTGAGCACTAACCACTTGGCTTTTTGATAATTGTTTATARTTTAATGAGAAGAGAGCAACAGGAAAGAGGAATTAAGAGAGAAGTCAATCACAAAATGCAGAATGAGAGGGAATAAAACAGATGGGAAAGGTTTTTGTGCAGAGAATCTAAAAAAATGCATTCCACCTACCTCTTCTGTGGCAATAATTGGAAGACAACAGAAATGTTTTATTTTTTATTTTTTGGTTCTATTTCCTTCATTAGCCTTCCATCACTGAGTCTGAAACACAGCACCAGTCATTGTGCAACACATGAAATACTCAGTAATAGCTAATTTTGAGCTTATGTCTTCTAGTCAAAGCCCAGTCAGCTTAGTTTCGTAAAGCACAGAAAACGCCTTAATATGACAAAAAACAAACAAACCTTTAAGCCATTATTTATTTTCCCTGCTTTTGGATATGCTTTGAAATATTCAGTACGGAACAACAACTAGCTGTATATTTTGCGAATGATATGACAAGCGTGTTTGTTGGGCTTCCAAAGCACCATGCATTATCATTCATAATTGGGTTATAGTTTTTCAAAAGCCTCTTCTGCTTTGTGTATTCAGATGTATGCCTCATTTTGTTGTTGAAAGTAGGGAAAATTCTTAAAACTGTATCAAAAGAAAAATAAAACTGGGCCATAAATTATTATCTAAGTATTTTGAAAAAAAAAAAAACTGAGTTGTATTTGAACAAATGTCAATGTAGAACTGTGATGTTTGCGTGCAAAGTATGGTGAGTGCCAGAGATCACCATAGCAATTCAGTAAGCTTCGAAATGACATGTCACTCAAAAACATGCATGCCGAGCCTAATTAAAAGCAGACTAAAGACTGCATATCATTTTTTTTGTCATAAATCTCTTTGTGCAGTTTGTCATGAATTTTAAAGCACTTAGTCTAGAAGCAACTTCATAAAATTATTCAATTGTACTCACACTATGTACTTTATTTAATGCTGCAAAATCTTTTTATAATACAGTGARTTTAACCTAAAATGCTTGTGGTTCTCAGGATATCCTGAACAACCTGACCCCTTCAGAAACCGAAGTTCTGGATGAAAATGACCTAATGTTGGATGTGGATCTCCCAGACGACGGCTTACACGGTCAGCACACACATGCAGACAAGTTTTTTTCTTGTTATCCCACATAAAATTTGTGAGGTCATTATTAGGCCATGACTTATACTAATGTTCTGTGGATACCTCCAGCAAAACTCTCTGATTATAAATGTAGATGAGTACATTACCCATGTCTGAGCTTTCTAGTCCCAGCAGAATCCTTCTGGTTGATATAATGGTTTGAATAAATTGAATCTAGCTTTGCCTTGGGTGAATATTTACCACTGCAACATCCATTAAATAGGTTTAATGGATACTTGGTCATGTATTATGTCCTGTCACATTTTTAGTATTTGGTTGGTGGGATACATTCAAACTTTGTTCTTTGAAAATATGCTTTTTTAAGTGAACTTAGAAGAAGTATTCATCCTGCTGTCTAAGTCTGTTTACATGAACAGATGTGCACAGATGTACATGGTTGATAAGTATGGTTGCAAGGCAAAGTGCATTTGTATTCTTCAACATTTATTCCCCTTGACGACAGCAGCTTGGTGTTTGTGCTCTAAGATCTACACATCTCAACACTAACTTCTACTTTGAAACATTTTTCAGAGTTTTACAACTTTTCTTCGCACATTCTTACTTCCCATATTTATTCTCATTAAAACAGAGTAAAATTGTTTCTCTGGACGTGTTAAAGGTAATCAGGTCACATTATTACCACATAATAACAGTGTTGACACAATTATGGCTCCATCAGTTTGTGTGGCATTTTGTTCTTCAGTAGAGGAGAGAAAAAGGGTTGAGGACTGACCTCTCTTGTCACAGAATATAATGAATTCTTGGAAATGAATTTTCTTTTGTCAGTCCTAAAGCCAGAACTATCATGGTACATTTCATTGCTAATGGATTTAATGCTGTCGCTTTCTCTGAATGACTCTGACAAGCTTAGTTTGTACAAACAGGGCGCCTTTCAGCATCATAAAATTCATTAGAGGAACCGTGTATATATGCTGTCATGTGTATATAAAAAYGTATAAAGGGGCATTTGCTCACAAAAATAGTTGTCAAATATTGCTAAAAAACATATTTGTGTAATGCAAGACCTTTTACGTTTTATTTAAAAAGTTGCTTTAATTGTTTATAATCTTTTATTTTGGTAAAAGCAGCTAATATGACAGCTAATGAGAAACAGATTTTTCTAAATATTATATTAGAGAGTATTATATGACACTGTGTGATGTAGACATTGATTTTACTGCAAGGTTTTATATATAAATTCTTCTGAATGGGTGTTATGAACTGTAATTTCATTGTGCTCTGTACAATGACAATAAAGGTCTATCTTCATATATATATATGGATGGATGGATTTATAGATAGATTTATAGATAGACTGATAGATAAATTTGGTTTTAAATAGTTTTTGGTTTCAAACCTAGATAGTTTTATTTTAAATTTTCTATCCAATACTAGACACATTTACTTAAGAACTTCATTACTTATGTATTTCCCATAGAATATTGTATTTTGTTATTAACCTTTTCACCTWAGTTCCAGTTAAAGCATGTTTTCACTACTTTAATTAGCCTTTGATCTGAACAGAACACAGATATATTTGATTTGGGTCATGCTTTAAATTTTAAAAAGTATGAACTTAACATAGTAGAGATGCAAGTGTCCTAAAATGAGTTTRCATTTTGTATTCTTGTTTTGAAAGTACAGCTTCAAAAATGACTATAAAGTAGCCTAAACACCTTTTCAAAATGCCGTCAACAGAAACTCTATATCAAGCTAAACAGACTGTTTCCTAAATTAGCATAGAGTCCCTGTAAACATTGATTTTGTTCCTGAGAAAAGGAGCCGGTGAGCAAGAGGGAAATGCTCACACCGCAGGAATGTTATTAGTGCGTCGTCGTCCCKTCCTCCTCCTTTCCGGGTAACGACCATATTTATAGCACTTTATGTCATGAGTAGAATTCATGTCACGAGAGGGAAACTGAAGAGTCCAGTTAGAGTCCAGCCCACAGGGCAGGACTTRGTTGTGGCATGAGGAAGGGTGTCTTTTTCCTAAATACACTCCAACTTTGCCATRAAACAGAAAAAAGTTAAAGAAAGAGGAGGATAAAAAAGGACTCWTTGGGTTTTCATCCAGCTGTCAGCTCCCATGAAAGGAGAGAGGCCACAGATTCCCTCTCTGTTGGTAACTTCCTCGGCTTGGACACAAACCAGTCACTTCACTCCCTTTCTCACCAGCACAACCACAGTCCTCTCTCCAGCTCYAGTTTCCTGGGAGTTCCCAGAAAAACAAGGCTGTCAACATAGACCGGGCCGGGCAAGCTGGGAGCGGGGCTGACTTTTTCCCCTGGCTCTAACAGATCATCAGCTGACGAGACGAGGAGTCATTTTTCTCCACTTTCCGTTTGAGTTTACCTGCATTTATAGATTTTTTTCAAGTTGGAATATATTCAGTTTGTACTTTTTAGAAGAGTTTTTCTAAGCTTACAAAAATAAAAACAAGTCATTGGGGGCACTTAAGTTTTCAGGAATGTAACAGCCTCGTATGCAAAACAGGCTGTCTGTTCGTAAACAGGCGGTCTGCTCCTCTGCTATGTGGTGACTCTCGGGGTAAAGTATTTTCACCAGCACCGCTGAAATCATTGGATTCTCGTCGTCTCAGTCCTTATCTGCTTTCCTCACTTACTTTCTGTATAAACATCTGAGTGTGTCACATTTAGAAAGTCAAGAGTTGTTTTATTTCCCAGAGATAGCACTCTGTTAGTCATTTTTTGTTGCCATCATGGTTCTTTTCACAGCTGTGTGCCATTGAGTGCTGCTAAATACTGTTTCTTTACAGTGGCTTGTAAAAATGCTAACATCTGTCTCTGTGAGCAAATGTTTTCATTGGATGTTGGCAACATTTTAAAGAAACAAAGTCAGATAAAAATATCTTGTTTTTTGTTCTTATTTAGAGTTTTTTTTACTATAAGTGTATCCATTGCATTTACATGTATGCTTACCTTACATTTGTTATAAATACAGTAACAAATAAAAGAGCTAAAGGAAAAAATATACATTTTTGCATGTAACTTTTTATGTTCAACCACAAAAACAGCATTAATAGTAACTTATGACAAATTTGCTTGTTTTTCCCCTTTCATGTATAGCTTTTGTTTTTTGTTTTTTGTGCTTTCCTTTATGCAGTCTCACTGTTGCTTTAAATTCTCTTAATATAGACTTTGAAAGAATGTCCCACATTGAGCGACCAGAACGAGCCAACCGGCAAGGACAGCGTYGTAAACAACACCGCTGGAGTGGTTCGGATCACTTTCACGGTGATGGCAGGTTGGTCAGGCTCACAAGTTAAAACGTTTGCTGAACACGATTGAACTGTAGAATGAAAAACGAGCAAAAACTCTAAATTATTTTATAAAATTTTCTCTCTCAGGGCATATGTCTTCCAGAATTATGATGGCTTCAGGGGTTCAAAAGCCTCTTCACGGTTTGTCCCGTCTGAAGCCAGGCAGCGAGGCTACACACCGATGCTGGATGAACTCACACTCGGACACATGAATCAGGACTGCAGCTTGCTCAAGAATCAGCTGCTCCAGCTCAAAATGTTACTAGAGGTTTGTCCTGCATTTGCAGAGAGATGTGAATCCAACTAGCATTTGCTTAAAATTTATTTAAAATGCTTCAAAACCTCAGTTTCCTCATCTCAGCTCAATCCACAGCAATAAATCCTTCTAAATGGCTCAAATTCATTTGACTTTTATAGCATAGGTATTGATATTTTGTTTGCCTTTGAATTAATGCCTTTTCAAGATTTATTTTTTAATTGTATATATWTTCTTTGAAAAACAAAGCAAACAACAGCAAAAAATAAGTACAGCGCTGAGCTCAAAACATCAAATGTAAATTATACCTTCTGTTGCTGAATTCTAATTTGTTTTGCTTCGTTTTGCTAACAGTCAGACATCTGGCACATTTCTTTTTACTCATACAGAATCTAATTGGATAAATCAGTTTAACTTTAATGAGCATCAGGTTGGATGTGATGTTGAACTACAGTTTTAGTTCTTTGTCAAATGAGTGACAAAAAATGATAAAAATGTAATATTTTTGTTTTTCCTAGCATGAAATATCACATTTTTTGCGATATTTTTGGTCTTTGAACAGATGTGACTAGGTTTTGGTGAGGTATATAAAAAAAAAACAAATCTTTTTTGGCCTTCATCTAATTGTGACAAAAGCACAGACTGTGATTTTTGTGTAAACACAAAAAGATAAAATATGAGAAAAATAATCTTTTAAATAGTTCTGCTTTTATTTAGGTGCACGAAGGTAGGGACAGTTTTTTTTTTTTCAATATTGATTCTTCAATCCCATACTTCGCCTCCGGTATGTGATCCTGGTGGCTAGACATGCAGGGTCACTGGAGAGTATGTGTAAAAGAGTAAAAAAAAAAAAAAAACCCAAAAAATTCCCTCTGGTGAAATATTGCTTTTGAGGCATGCCTAAGGCAATTGATTCAGCTCACTTTGTACTCTGCATCTGTTTGTGTGCCCCCTTCTGAGTGTGTGTGTTTATGTTTCAAGCTTGAGGAAACAGACTCTTCAACAGATGTTTTTGAGCAGTCTGAAGACAATACCACTGTGTCACAGGTAAGAAACCTTCCTCTGCATTTGGATGGACATGGTCTATACATCTAAACAGTAAACATTGCATCTACCCTCTTGAGGCGGTCTCCTGTTAGTTCCTCAAACAGTGTGTGTGTGTGTGTGTGTGTGTGTTCAGATGGAGGTGCTGATTAAGGAAGTAGAGGTGCTCAGAGAGGAGCTGAAGAACCGAGACAAGACTATTGCTCAGCTCACACTGCAGTGTCAGCAGCTACAACAACATCCACCAGAACAACTGGTGAGTTTGTAAGAACAGGACTGAAAAAAATCTACACTCTACAATGTTTCTGTTCGACCTCAGTCTGTACCCCCATGACTTTTATTTTGGATTGGGAGAACTTTTGGTTAGAATGTGTAATTTTAATGGAAGGCTTAAGTTTTAGAAGCACAACATCCTTAAATCACACACACACACACACACACACACACACACACACACACACACACACACAC